CTCCTCAGGCTTGTGAGGGAGAGAAATCGAGGCGACGGGAACCCTCTTCTTTTTGAGCCCTCCCCCGTCGGGGGAGAGGGGGAGGGGGGGGGGGTCCGTGGGAGATCCCCGTGGGGGTAGGGGTAGGGGGGGGGGTATGTTGGGGGGAGGGGGGTCAGGTACGCATCCCCCCCTGGGGGTCACGGGGCCTCAGAAGGTAGCAAGACAGGCCAAGAGTGCCCCAAGAGGCCCCCGAGACGGTCCAAGAGGGCCCCCAATCGCCAAACGATCGGTTCCAAACGCCTTCACGCCTTTCAGACTGTCCAGGAAGCCGCCAGGACGCCCCAAGAAGCTTCCAAGAGCACTCCCGAGAGGGCCCCAAGAGGACAAATTCATTGATTTTCCGTTGGCTTTTGAAAGATTCGGGCGCCCTCGCCTTTCCCACTTCCCGCCGCTCCAAGATGGCGCAAGAGGCCCCCGAGATCACCCCAAGACGGCCCAAGAGGTCTCCAAGATCGCCCCCAGACAGCCCAAGAGGACCCAAGACAGTCCAAAACGCCTCCAAGACGATCCAAGAGGCCCCCAAGACGGCTCCAACAGCGTGCTCAGGCGAGGGACCCGAACGGACATTTCGAGCCCTCGGCCCCGAGAGGCTCCTAGGAGGCCCCAAGAAATTCCCAAGAGGTCCCAAAGAGGCTCCCTATTGAGGCCCAAAAACTCCTCCCTAGAGGTCCCTTGGGGGCCTTCCGAAGAGACCCCAAGAACTATACCTGAGGACTCTGGCCCACGTCAGCGTCGTCGTCTTCGCCGCCGCCGTTGTCGTCGTCGCCTCCCTTCAGGGTCGGCGGCACCGGCGTGAGACCGTCGCAATAAGAACCCCGAAGTGCAAACACCGTTAGGGGAACTGGTGGTCCATCGCCGTGACCTCGCCAAGGTCGATCGACGTAGCCGCGCCGAGGTCTTCCACAGGGGGCCGAGGGCGACGGAGCGTCGCGAATGTGCGCAGCGGACGAGGACCCTTTTTTCCAGCCGCGAATGTTGGCCAAACGGCCTCGCTGTCGCTGCTTGGCATGACGTGAAGGAAGAGGGCCCTGAGCCATGAAGGAAGCGGGTCCTGGACCTGGGGGCCTTTGCCTATGACAAGCTTCTCTGGAGCAGCATGGAACTGCAGAAACATGCCATACTTGTTCTGAGGTCCGCGCGGAGATCCTGGCTCTGCTCAAGGGGCCCAAGGACACACAAATAACTACACACAAATAACGAGATTCCCCATCTGTTCATGTATTTTGTGGGCTTCCGTCTTCTCCCCCACTTCCCATATTTTCCAATATTTTCGGGGGAATCGACGATTAGTTGTGTCTGTGTGTTTCTTTCCCTCCTGACCTTTTCTTCTCCTCGAGAACAAATGTTTGACCGTTCCGGGGCCCAATGAGGGCCCCAAAAGCTCCAAAACGGACGAGCAAGAAACTCCACACGACCCGCTTCCCCCAGTCGGGAAGACGAAAGACTCGGGGTAGGGGGACTCGGGTCGGCCTGACGGGGCCGTCAGGAAAAAAACGAGACCCAATCTGAAACTCAACGCGATCTCCCGCTGCAAAACATCCCACGAAAACTGGACGGTCAACATCCAAGACGGGCCCGTCCAAAAGCGTTGGCAGATCCGAGTTCCGGCGCACTCGAGTCTTACGCTTCGCCGACCCATAGGGGAACGAACAATGATATAAACATAGAAACTCGGAGGTCCAGCGCGGATTTCTCGGATCCGCGCTGGACCCCCCTGGCGGCGCCTCCTGCGCCGCCCCTGGCGCGCTCCGCGCGCCCAGGAGGGGGGTCCAGCGCCGATCCGAGAAATCCGCGCCGAACCTCCGAGTTGTTCTTATGCTTATGTCCCTCTTCGCCCCCCTGGACCCAGGGCCCCCCTCTCCTCCTCCTCCTCCTCCTCCCCTCCTCCTCCTCCTCCTCCTCCTCCTCCTCCTCTCCTCCTCCTCCTCCTCCTCCTCCTCCTCCTCCTCCTCCTCCACGGCGTAGCTATGTACCCGAGCCCGCGGACGCGGCGCGCGCAGCTCGGCAAAGGGGGCAGAGGGCGAGGGCGGCCGCCCTACTCCACGGGGCAGCCCGCCGGAGGGAGAAAGCTGCGAGCTCGACCGTGGACTCCTCTGCGGGGGACCTGTCTATGACTACCTACCAGACCACCCCAACCCAACCCGAAGACCCGAATTTCGGGTTTGGGGGGGTATGGGCTCCATACGTGTTTTTTCGATGTTCCCGGACCCCCCCCCCCACTAGAAATCGAGGGTAAATCTGACCCTTCGGGTTGGGTTGGGGTGCTTTGGTGGGTGGTGAGTCTATGCAGATCCATAGGGGGACGAAACATGGCATATACAGTCGGGGCGTGGACCTAAGAAACCCTAAATACGGAACGAGGCCCCTGTTTTCCATAAGTTCAACTTCGATCTCCCATCGAGAACATGAGGAAACAACCTGAGGCAAGCTGTGACACACTTGAGGAACGCGGAGCCCCTCCCCAACCAAGAGGGTTCCTTCTTCAGGGCCCCGACTGTAGGGGGGCGAACCCCCCCTTTTGAAAAGCAAGTGTTCCTTATTCAAGCCGCTCACTGTATCTATAGGGGGGCGAAACATGGCGTGCACATAAAAACTCAGAGCATCGCGCGGACTTCTCGGATCGGCGCTGGGGCCCCCCGGCGGCGCTCCGCGCGCCGAGGGGGGGGGGGTCCAGCGCCGATCCGAGAAGTCCGCGCGGACCTCAGAGTTGTTGTTTATTTTTGTGCCGTTGTTTGAACCCCTCTGCATGTGCATACCCAATGCGTCTCGGACAATCTTGGCAGGGGCGCCGTTTGAACCCCTCTGCGTGTGCATATCCAATGCGTCTCGGACAGTCTTGGCAGGGGCGCCGTTTGAATCCCTTTGCATGTGCATATCCAATGCGTCTGGGACAATCTTGGCAGGGGCGCCGTTTGAACCAGCCGCACTGGGCATGGACAAGCATCGAGCCTTCGGGGGCCAGATGTTTATTCCTATCGGGTACGCCTCGGGTGTCTGGGAAGGGGAGCCCGTAACTCCCGGCTGCAGTGGCCGTGGACACACGTCTTGCCCGCATCCTCGCTACCCATCCAGAGGACGACAGACCAGCATAAACGCACACTTTCGGAGCTCCTCTCAGAGTTCTCGGATCGGCGCTGGGCCCTCCTGGCGGCGCCTCCGGCGCCGCCCCTGGCGCGCTCCGCGCGCCCCGGAGGGGGGTCCAGCACCGATCTGCACAGAGCTCCGAACATGCATAATTATGCCGTTCCTTCTTCTTCTGTTTATTAATCATTTTTTTTTCTTATTCTTCTTCTTCATCATGTTCGTATCAGTATTTCTCTTCTTCTTCTTCCCAATTATGATTATGATTGTTCTTCTTCTTCTTCTTCGACCATCCGCCTCGAGCGGTTCTCCGCGGTCTTCGGCGAACTTCTGGCGCTCCTCGGCTGCATGCTGCCGGAGCTCTGCTGTCGTCGGCGCGGACGCTGGCGGGTTGCGTTCGACAGCCAGCTTTTTATCGTTTGCGAGAAAGTGGAGGCCAATCCACAAGAAACTCTCCGCAAGACACCCAGCCCCGAGCCCTGAGACCCCAGGACGTCCACTGACTTGTGGCGTGGGAGCGTCACGCTTCCCGTGTATAAAAACATCGGAACCCAAGAAAACCCAGGACACCCTGGAGGCACGCATGCTGTTTCTTGGCACGGGCCCCCACTGAAATGCCCGTGCCCGGCTGGCCCCGCCGGCCCCTCACTCCCCACCCCCATTGGTCGTGCCACGATCCGCGCCAGCGCCGCCAGAGCATCAGCCTCTCTTAATGCGGGATGACGATGGATTTAAAAAATTAGAGAGAACGATTAAAAACATAGTTTTCTGACTGGAGGAGAACGATAAAAAAATAGTTTTCCAGCCTGCGGCCGGTTTTTTCGAATCGTCATCCCGGGCGCCGCCGCGTGAACACGGCCCCCGGTCATTTCTTAATCGTCATCCTCCATTATGAGCGCAACGTCAGGCGGCGCCGGCGCGCATCGTGACGAGACCGGCCCCCTCCCCCCCATCCCCCCCAGTCACGCCCGTCATCGCCAGGTGGTGGAAAAACTTCTGGCGCCGGCGGCCAGGCAGGGGCCGTCTGCGCCGGCGGTGTGAGCTCAACGGGGGCGCCGTGGAAGCGAGCTTTAGCAGCCTGTAATATATCCCTATCCCTGTGCTGGGCGCCTCCTCATCACGATGCCAATCTTAGGGATTCACTTATTTTTTGAGGGCGAATCCCTAAGATTGTCATCGCCTTTCGGCGTGTCAATCTTAGGGATAGGGATACGTTCGAGGCTGGTAAGAGTTGGCCAGCATGCCAGGGGCTGAAAACACGGTCCGCAGCCAAGGGGTCCATAATCGAGCGCCCGAAAGCAAACCGAAAGTTCGACGTGTCGTCGACGTGGCCGCGCGGCGGCCCACCGAGGCCCGGAGGCCCCCGCTGCCAAGGCAGAGCTCAATGTCGCGGAGCCTCTGCCGGCAGACCCGGGGCTCCACGGCGAGGAGAATGATGTCAGACAGCTTGCAGCGTGCAATGTGCCGAGCGGCTGGTCATTTTGCAAGATGCGATGGCACGCAGCAGAGGCTGCGGTCCGGAACTTGTGCTTACCGCGCCGCGGCGGCGGACCCGGCGACACGCAGTGCCCTGCAAGCGGATAGCGTGTCGTTCCGCTCCGCGGGGCGGGAGGCTGGGGAAATCTCGGGACGTTGACGTTTGGGGGCTGGGACGTGTTTAGCGTGTCGCGCCGGATCGTGTTGGGACAAACCCAGCGACGCGACACGCAAAGCCAAGATTCCTGACCGTATGCTGCATGCTTGCTTGCCTAAAACAATCCGTGCACAAGAAATGGAAAGGCACACGGCCGAGTGAATTCCAAGGGAGCCGCCCTGGCATCGGCGGCTAGCAAGGAGGACAAAGCAGGTGGGGGGGTGGGGGGGCGGCCGGTGTGGCCTCAGCGCTCCCGCTGCTGCGGATCCGCCGCCCCAGCGAGCTGCAGGTACCGCGCGCAGAACTCTGTGAACGGCTGTGGGCTGCTGTCGCCAAGCCTGCCCTGGTGGAGCGCCCAGTATAATGCGAAGGCGCTGGCTGCCCGCAGTGTGCTGCCACACCCGGCCTCTGGCCCGCGCGACAGGACGCTCTGCAGCTGCCGCTCAAGCGCCCTCAGCGAGGCGTCATCGGGCCCGTGCGCTGGCCGTTCCCCGGCGCCGCCCTGCACCGCCAGCTCCAGCATGGCCTTGCTCAGGCAGGCCCTCGTCGCCTCCAGCAGGTAAGAGGTGCACACGAGCGCCGGCACATCCAGGCGATGCGCCGTGCCGAGGGCCTCGCCAATCCCGTACCGGTGCCGCTTCACTCCCAGGTCGTGGAAGTCCGCAGCAGAGAATTGGCCACTTTCTGGAGCGTCGTGCGGGAACGCGCACCCCTCCGCGTTCATGACGAGCTCAGCGAAGGGCTCAGGGCACCCGTGCACGCGCACGTCGCACAGGGCGTCGTCGCCTCCCGTAGCGGGGGCAAGGCGGCCGAAGAGGGCCCTCTGAAAGTCGTCGGCCTCCGCGGCGCCCAGCGGCAGGTGCACGGTGCCTGGCAGTTCCTGGCAGGGGGATGCGCCGTACACCTGCTGCAGGCAGAGGACGGCGCCGCTCTCTCCGGCCCACTGCACCTATGCGGAAACCAAAAGGTACCCATACCGCTGCCGGCCCGGCCCTCTCCTGGGGTGCGTCCTGCTCAGAGCTGCGACGCGACTGCAGCGATGGCAGCGAGGGCACCCCCCGAGGCCCAGGATGGCGAAGACGAGGCCCGGGCAGCGGCGTGGGTGCCTTTGTCCCCCTCGGCCCTGTGGCCCTCTGCACCTTGTCGATCCACACCTTCACGTAGGTCGCGCCCGCAGCCGCGCCTCCAGCGCTTGCGGCGCGCTCGGGGACGTCTGGCCCTCGCGCCGCCGCGCGCGCGGCACAGCGGCGGCCGCACCTGGCGGGCGGCGGGAGGCGGCGGCGCCGCCGCCCGACGCGCAGCGCGGCCGCGGCGGCGCACAGCGGCAGCGCGGAAGCAGCAGGTGGGCCGTGGGCACTCTGGGGCTGCCACGGGCCTCGGCAGGGAGCCAAGGGGGCCTTCAGGGCACTGGCCTCGCCCGGCAAGCTGCGCGGCGCACGCCGCGCTGCAGCCTGCGGCGGCGGCATGCGAGCCCGCGCCAGCGCCATGCCGGCCTGCATCGGGACAGCCCGGATGCCTCTACTCAGTGAGGGGACAGTGAGTTGAGCCACAGTGACTAGAGGACCACATCGTGGCATGGAACAGCGACACTGGCGCGAACTCCAAACTGAGAAAGTAGGATCCGTTCAGGGAGCCCGAATACAAAAATACCAAAGAACGTTGCCACGCGGGGCTCGCTGGGGCTACCCACAGGCAGCTAGCATCCCAACGACTCACAAGAAACGGTGCAAAGCTGGTCGGGGCTGATCCACGGTAAACCAGCATCACATCAACCCAATTACATGCGGCCACCTGGGGCGACTCGAGACTGCTCGCGCCCAACCGAGGTCCCAATGACCCATTGCAAATTACAACGCAGAACTAGTCGGGCGTAGTCACGCCCAAACGACACTGGGACAACAACAAAAGCCAAGCAACCAAACGTGCACACGAGGGGCTACTTGTGACCAGCCGCGACGAACCGCCACCACAACAACTCAGGACAGGCGGCCAAGCGAGACTAACGCGTGGGCGGCTCACAGTCACCAGCGCCCCAACAACAGAAGCCAACAGGCCAAGCGGATACAATCGCGGCCCGACGCAAAAACCAAAGGGAAGCCACCACTGCGAGGCCGCTCGGGGCCAGTCGGGGCCGACCGGGGGCAGACGATGGGGCGAGTCACGGCCAGCTGGCATCCAACGAGCCAAAAGGAGAATCGCTCACGGGGCTGATAGGAGCTAGCCAGCGACTGCGAACAGGCATCCCAGCGCCCACTGGAAAACTACCGCGCAGGGGGACTGTCGGTCTCAACCCCCCTTTCTCCTAGGATGGCTCCTGGAGGCCTCCACGACGCTCCTACGACATCTCGAGTAGGCATCGGTTCTGGATGGGCTGGTGGGGATACGCGAAGCGTCTAAAGAAACATGCATTCACATGTGCACTCCTGCGCGACCCTTCTCTTGCCAGCTCGGCCCGCCAGCCGGGGACTTGGCCTTCTGCTGAAGCCGCGTACGAATGTTCACGATGTCGTCTGGCAGCCGGTTGAACGCACATCACGCTGAAAGTGCGGTTGGACGACAGATGAACTTACCACCCCAGCTCTTGCGGTGCGCACACGGCGGAAGGGCGCGGGGAGCCCTTTAAGAAGGCACGGGGGGTTTCTCAGAAGCCCCACGTGCCTTCAAGGAACCACCAATCCGTTCTGGGCAGCACCATGACCCACTGGATGGCCAAAGGCCAACACCCTCGCCCCGCCCCCTTGAGCGCGCTGCCGACCAACCGCCTTCTCATCCCGAGTCGTTGTTTGACGGCCCCAGGGCCCGGCGATGGCCCTGGAGGCTGATAGCTGGCAACGAGAAAATGAGAGGGTCGTCCGAGACCACCGTCCATCACTCCACCACTGCCCGTCATGTCAGACATTGGAATGCCCGAGATGAGTACTGAGAAAGTGGATACGATGCCCAACAGCAAATGTCGCCCAAAACCGACAGCGGCCGCTCTTGAGCAGGCGACCTTCTGTGCCACATGGACAAAATCTGCGGGGACACCGACGGCGAGTCTTGTTCAGAATGAACAAAAAAATGCTGTCGGACGTCCCTGTAGGCAGCAAGGGGGTCTGAGCCGGCTGGGCCCAGAGAAAACCTGTGAAGAAGGAAAGAATGAAGGCAAATCCGCTCAGAATTGGTGCCCCAGACTTCTCCCAGGGTCCAGCTTGCGCAATAAGTCACGCTGGATCCGTTTTTGACGATCCCCGTGCCCGAAAATGGCCCCTGGCGGCCGAACCAGAAAATTATCCCAGCAAAGCAACCTAACAACTATGTGTAGAAGCATATCTGGAAGCATATCTGGAAACGAGACGCTGCTATCAATAGTGGATGAGTCTGCAAAGAAGGCTCTAGTATCAACGGATCAGCACATTCTTGTTGTGCTCATTCCAAACGAGACGCTGCTACGCAGGGATGTAGGTCCAAACGAGACACTGCTATCAATGGATTTAATACTGCTTGCTACTACAGATGTGTCTGGGAACGAGACGGTGCTATCAACAGTGGATGAGTCAGCAAAGCGGGCACTGCTATCGACGAGACAGCACATTCTATGTTTGCTCCTCCCAAACAAGACGCTGCTATCAATCGATGTAAGTCCAAACGAGACACTGCTATCAATAGTAAGAGGTGTGTAAAAACGAGACTCTGCTATCAATACTGGAAGTGTGTCGAAACTGGACACTGCTATCAATAGTGGGAGTTGTATGAAATCGAGACTCTGCTATCAACACTGAGCTGTATTAAAACGAGACACTGGTATCAATATTGGCAGTTTTTTTATATATATATATATATATATATATATATATAGAAAAAAAAAAAAAACGAAACTCTGCTAGCAATCCTGGCAGTGTGTCAAAACGAGACACTGCTATCAATAGTGAGAGGTGTGCGTGTGTGTGTGTGTGAAAAAAAAACGAGCCTTCGCTATCAAAAATGGAAGTGTGTCAAAACGAGACACTGCTATCAATAGTGAAAACTGTGTTAAAACGAGACTCTGCTATCAATACTCGAACTGTGTTAAAACGAGACACTGGTACCAATAGTGGGAGTTGTCTAAAAACGAGACTCTGCTATGAGTACTGGAAGTGTGTTAAAACGAGACACTGCTATCACTAGTGGGAGGTGTGTAAAAACGAGACTCTGCTATCAATACTGGAAGTGATTCAAAACGAGACACTGCTATCAATAGTGGGAGTTGTATGAAAACGGGACTCTGCTATCAACCCTGCTCGCCGTGCTTCCTTTCCTCGCCTTGCTTCTTTTGCCCGCTTCCTCGCGTCCTTTGCTCGCTTTCCCCTCGTCGGCATCTCGTTGCTGCAGCGCGCGCTGGTGGTCAGACTGCTCATGCTCTTGTCGATCGTTTTGAACTAGTTCCCGACGTTGGTCGTCGGCGAGGACGCGCCGCATGTCAACGACGCCCTTGCTCTGCAGAAACTGCCGGCGAACCTGGAGAACAGAAAGAACGGCTCGGCCTGTCTCCTCCTGCGACGCGCAGGCGGTGTCAGCGTCTCCCTCCGCGGAATCTCTCTCCGCGGACTTCCTCTTCATGAACAGCAAACGGCTCAAGTGGCCGAGGAATCTGGGGTCGTGCTGCGCGTCGTGCCTTCCGTCCCCGAAAATTCCCCATCTCTTGGTGCAGGGCCCGCGCGCGCTGGCTAACCTCATCCTCGGGTTCGTCGATGGCCTCGCCGTCGGCCTCTGGCCCCCCCGCGCGTGCAGGAGAGGGACTCCGCGAACAGTCTGGAGCGTCTGGAGGCGGGGGCGTCTGGAGGGGCAAGGAGCGCTTGGGGGCGGGAGCGTCTGCCTCCCCGGAGTCGGAGCCGGAAACGTTTCCTTCGCAGTCTCCGAAGGCATACTTCCGTTTGCTCCCCGCCACAGGCTGAGCAGCACAGGGAAGAGAGAAGACAACCGCGACAGCATCGCGTGGGTCGTTGCGCATTCCACGGTCCCGGTACGAAAAGCCAACAGCGATGGACTTGAAAGTCGCGACGGCTCCACTGACTGCGACGCTGTCGCCGATGAGGTCTGCCGGGGCGCAGAAGACCCCCCACAGCGCGTCGTCGTCAGTCCGGCGCTGCAAATCTTTACGCACGCCCTCGGCATTGAGGTTGTTGTCGCCGAGAATGATGCGCGCGACCCGCTGAGAGGTAGACGGTGCTCGAAGGCTGTGCAAGTGTTGCCGCAGAAGGTTCACTGCGCGCCGTCGCGCTGGCACACTGGGGGCGTTATCGCCGCGAACGATGTGCAGATTGCCGGTGATCGCGTGCACTGTGCCATAGTCTTTGATCTGCACATCGAACCGTGCGATCGCAGCGCCCACATCTTGCATTCCGGGGAGCCAGAAGATCTCTGCGTCGCCGTGCGGGGACACATCGACAGGCTGAGGAGCACCAGTGAAGCCCCACATGCTCACGTAGTTGTGGACCGCACTGATGCAAACGTTGTCGCCGAACGGTTGTCTCAACATGTCCGCCGCGTTGATTCCAGCTCTGCTGAAGCCCTTACGATGCGCACCCACCTCGCAGCCAAACAAGAAGTCAGCATCAGCCTCCGCTGCGATTTTGACGCACAACCGCTGAAAATTTGCGAGGTGCCTCGGGGACTTCTTTCCCGTCATCATGTCCTGCTCGAACCCGAAGTTGAAGGAGGCAACCGTAAAAAACGCAAGCTGAAGACCTCGAGGGGGACCAGGCGCGGCCCCAGACGCGCCTCCGTCTTCCGTCGCAGGCTGAAGAGCACCGCGAGAACCAGAGGCCGCGGCCCCAGACGCGCCTCCGTCTTCCGTGGCAGGCTGAAGAGCACGAAAGGCGCGGCGAAGTTGGGAGCGTACATTGCAATGTGGAGAACGCAGGAAAGGCACGTTCTGGCAAAGGCCACGGCAATGTGGTAGGCACGGTCTGAGCCAAAGACGGCGAGCACATGCAGGGGGAAAATGGGGGTTGACAGAAGGAAGGTGGGAGGCTTCGATCGACTCACGACTCACTGTTTTCGACAACTGTATCTCCAAACGAGACGCTGCTATCAATCGCTGTTTGGTCCAAACGAGACGCTGCTATCAATGGATGTAGCCCCAAACGAGACACTGCTATCAATGGATGTAGCCACAAGCAAGACACTGCGATCAACCACAGTCTGCCTTCAGCCTCGGCCTGCAGGGAGAAAGGGGAGGGAGGAAGGAGTAAGGGGCCTCCCTCGTCCTGCTCCTCCTGCTCCTCCTGCTCCTCGTGCTCTTCCTACTACTGCTACTACAAGTATTAGATTCTGGCGGAAACGTCCAGGGCACGATGAAGCCTGGGTCCGCCGTCTTGCCCTGCACGATGACGAACAGAACAAGACGGCAATCGGGTGGCGAGAGATCTGACGGGGACATCCAGTCAGTAAAATGTGACCCGGGAGTTGAGTTCTGGGAGCTCGAAGACCACGAAATGGCCTACAGGTGGCTCTGGGCATCCAAAATGTGGCCCGGGAA